ATATATTTCGCCAAGTTCGTTTTTATGAGTTATATTTTACGGAATTACGGAGTTTTATGAAGTTACGGAGCCCCTAAAGGGACATCCAAAATTATTTTTTTATCTCGTGCGCACGACATAATATCTCGTGCGCACGAGATAATTATCACTGGCGCACGACATATATCACGTGCGCACGACATAATATCTCGTGCGCACGAGATAATTATCACGTGCGCGCGACATATATCTCGTGCGCGCGACATATATCTCGTGCGCACGACATATATCTCGTGCGCACGACATATATCTCGTGCGCACGAGATAATTATAAGCATTAACGGAGCTTGCGCATGTCGTGCGCACGAGATATATGTCATGCGCACGAGATAGTATGTCGTGCGCACGAGATAAAAACATAATTTTGGATGTTCCTTTAAGGGCAGCGTACCAGACACGCTGCTTTCGTTACACACAAACTCGTCCGCTGCAAGTGCAGCAAGCTCCGTTAATATTTATAATTATCTCGTGCGCACGAGATATATGTCGTGCGCACGTGATAATTATCTCGTGCGCACGAGATATTATGTCGTGCGCACGAGATATTATGTCGTGCGCACGTCATATATGTCGTGCGCCTGTGATAATTATCTCGTGCGCACGAGATATTATGTCGTGCGCACGAGATAAGAAAATAATTTTGGATGTCCCTTTAGGGGCTCCGTAACTTCATAAAACTCCCTAACTCCGTAAAATATATCTCATAAAAACGAACTTCGACAAAATGTATCTCATAAAAACGAACTTCGAGAAAATGTAACTCATAAAAACGAACTTCGAGAAAATGTAACTCATAAAAACGAACTTCGACAAAATGAATCTCATAAAAACGAACTTCGACAAAATGTATCTCATAAAAACGAACTTGGCGAAATATATAACTCATAAAAACGAACTTGGCGAAATATATAACTCATTAAAACGAACTTGGCGAAATATATAACTCATAAAAACGAACTTGGCGAAATATATAACTCATAAAAACGAACTTGGCGAAATATATAACTCATAAAAACGAACTTGGCGAAATATATAACTCATAAAAACGAACTTGGCCAAAATGTATCTCATAAAAACGAACTTGGCGAAATATATAACTCATAAAAACGAACTTGGCGAAATATATAACTCATAAAAACGAACTTGGCGAAATATATAACTCATAAAAACGAACTTGGCGAAATATATAACTCATAAAAACGAACTTGGCCAAAATGTATCTCATAAAAACGAACTTGGCGAAATGTATAACTCATAAAAACGAACTTGGCGAAATATATAACTCATAAAAACGAACTTGGCGAAATATATAACTCATAAAAACGAACTTGGCGAAATATATAACTCATAAAAACGAACTTGGACAAAATATATACTTGATGGCACTACAGGGCTTTCGTACTATACCGTTAGCCTCAACGACCCTTGCATGTGCTTTGTGTGCATGTACGTACGCCCCACACACACTTCCGCAAACAGCCGTACAGTAAGTCGAGGCGGAAGATAGCCTTGACGCAACCGTGGCGAATTCTTATGTGTTTCTTTATAGTTTCGACCGAAATCGGCCGAAAATTTCTGATGCGCATATTTACACGATATCCAATCAAAGCCCGTAAACTTTGACCCGCGACATACATATTCATGATCCCGCAAACTACTGTATACACCACGTACATGTACTTGTATGTACACGTATGTTCACTCAAACTATGTCCAGGTATTTCAATCCCATTTTAAACCATTTCTCCAGTTTTATTACAAACAAATGAAATATGCCGCTATATGAGTGAACAATTGTTCAAAATGATACTATTACAATGTATTGCGAATTGGACAGTTCAAGACAGTCCGCCGACGTTTTGTTGGTGCAACAGCGTACATTATCACGCCGCTACCTGCCCGTGCTATTCTGACAGCGAATGTAGGGAACAGGTCAACTCGGACCCAGGTCAAATCGTACCCATTTAATCGAATGCAGGTTAACTCGTATCTATAAGCACCCGTATGAATTAACTGCAAGAAACGAACTATTGACTTTGGGATGGAAATATACGAAACTGTCAGGTACATGGTGAAAAAAAACTCTCCCTGAATTCGTACCATGTGCAACATACATCTCATACGTACGACACATGTATTTTAACGCGTACGTATGAATCGTATGTCGTATATACCTATGACATACGTACGACATGTAAGTCGTAGATGTAAATCGCACGAGATACAAGTCGTTCTCACAAGATATGTTGTATGTACGACATAATCGACAAACAAGTCGAACATACGAGTTACAATTCATATTTTGTACACACGAGATATTAAGTCGTACTTATATACGACTTTGTCGTATGCGACATATATCGTACCCTGTCGACTCGACTTATGCACGACATATATGTCATACCGGCACCTGTCGACATTATGTCATATGTTTGATATGTCATACCCTGTCGACATATGTCGTACCCTGTCGATATTAGTCGTACCCTGTCGAAATATGTCGTACCCTGTCGATATATTAGTCGTACATACGACATATAACTTATAAGTTGTTCATACAAGTTAAAATCAGTCTTACAGAATAAGTTTGCTGAAGGAGGGTTTTTTTTCCCCATATCCCCTTGACAGCTTAGAAGAAATACCCCTCCCCCCCCAAAAAGTCAGCGGTAGATATACTCAATAGTGTGAGCGCTTTTTTTGCCGCTGAACGTGAAAGCGCAGCGTGTCTCACTGCACGGCGCCAGCCGGGCCGGTGCCTACAGTGGACGGCCCCAACGTGGCCTCTGTGCATGGTGACATCGTTTTTGCCGGCGTGTGGTTTTGTACCGTTTGCCGTTTTTTGAAGGTCTAATTTTTCATCCTTTTCATTTCATTTTCGACCCAAACTATGTGTAACTTTATAAATATTATTCTACTATTATTTAAGATTTTAAGGGGGTGTTTTACAATAATTATTGTTACCACAGGCCGTCTGGTTTATAAACCTTTGGTCGTACTATGCAATTTAATAAATATTAAATTTTTTGTCAGCCGTTATCCAATGAGAGAAGACTATTTACCATAGCGCGTACTAATTATCATATTCGGCATACACGGTTGCGTCAAGGCTATCTTCTGCCTCGACTTACTGTACGGCTGTTTGCGGAAGTGAGTGTGGGGCGTACGTACATGCACACAAAGCACACGCAAGGGTCGTTGGGGCTAAGGGTATAGTCACTGATCTCTATATAAAGAGATCAGTGGGTATAGTACATTGTGATTGTGTCGCGGCGCGCGCGGTGTGCGGTAGCGCGAACAAACGCGATCCTATGGCAACAAGCTGATAGCCTTGGTCAAGGCTAGGTCGCCATAAGTTTGTCCATCATTTTAGTCGGGCCAGGTTGGTTTCGGTATTGCGTTTGAAGTCTTCTAATTGTGTTGAGTCAGTTCAACTCGAAATAAACCCAAACAGTTTGGAAATTCACACGGAAGAAATGTTGCAACCTGAGGCCACTTTTTTTTTCATAAATTTCCAATGTTGTTAGATAATACTTAAAATTGTCTTGACTCTACATTGACTTTGTACACAATCATGGAAGTGGCGTCAGGTTGCAACATTTTTTCCGTTGGTTTTCCTTAAACTTTTGTCGGGTCGGATCAGGTTGGTTTTAGGGAGTTCAAATTGGTTTCCGTTCGGATTCCGGTTTACAAAATAATGTTTTGGATGGTTTGGCCTGGTCATTCTGACCGGACACACCACTAGACCGAAATCCTTATTTTTTGCATGCCTAAATTCAAAGACGTGTTGTCAACAACCCACATATCAGGCGTCAAAGATTTTCATGGCATGCTGTATTCAGATCATGTATAAAAAGAACCCTGAAGAATCAATTCAATCATTGCTGAATTTCCACTTTCTTTCTTTTTCAATTAAGTCATTTTGTGAGTGTGCTGTTTATTTAAAAAACAAAAATATGATGAAAATGTCTGCAAACAGCTATACACTGCATTCTAAACAAAGATTGTAAAGATTTTAAAGATTTGTGTAATTGTTTGCATATTTAACTTTTATTGTCAAGGAATGGAGCAGTTCAATGGCCTTGTTATTGTCCTAGGTTGAGTTGCTTGTGGGCAAGCTTGGGTAGGGAATTTATATTATAAGCTCATGAAATATAGCAAGAAAGTGTATACATGTACATCCTAGAGCGAGCATTATTAACCTCGCACTTTGAAGAAAGTTTGGCTTGCATGTATTTTTAAGTTCATTTTTTTAAAGTTGCTTTATATTTATAATTAGGGCCTAAGTCATTCTCTGTTTTCAGAAACTTTCTTTTGTAAGCAATGTTTTGTAAGTGTAAGTGGTTCAAGTTTCCAGGGTTTTAGTAATATGTTAACTCACTGATGTAATGATTAAATCCAGCTCAAAAGTATGTAACTTTGCACTTCTGATTTTATGATTAAATCGTTTTCCAGAATTTCAGTCATGAAAAGAGACATGCCTTTGATTATTTGTGTTTATATTTTCATGTTCATATAGTCATACACATTGGTTTTTGTGTTTATATTTTTCATGTTCATGCACATTGAAACTGTCAACAAACAAAAAGCATCTAGAAAATGGGAGACATTATTGCCAAAAAATAATGGAATTATTACATTAATCTTAAATCATAACGGTCTAGAAATAGGAATAGCATTGAAAGTATATTATTTTCTTGCACAGCTAGTCGTTGAAACTTTGGGAGAGGACACATCGCCAGTTTATATTCTATAGTCGGGCACATTTAGTTCGAGATTATAAGATATCCATAAGCACGCATAGAACGGGGTACCCGACATACGGAAGCCTCGTGTGCTGTTACGTGATTGGTCAAAACGCGTGTTGGTTGCGGGTCTTGCCCAATGAGGAATGTACACTCATGCTGTGCGGCGCTTACACGTGCTTCCAGAGTGTAATTTTTTTCGTATCCTGAACGTTCAGAATGGCCGTAAATTTTGCGTGCTCCTGACTGTTTTGAGTACTTACATGATTCATGGTTATGATAATTTGTGCATTTAATAACAAAGCTTCTCATCAAACTGTAAAATGATGCTGCACGGTTTTGTTTTATATAGAACAAAGACGGTTTTCGCAAACCGAAATTTCTCGACAATTTCAGTAAAACTTTCATCCTCATATTTCTTAAATTCTTAAAATACTTTATGAAAATTTTAGAAATCTCATTTCACAATTAGGCTTGAGTATTCTTTACTATATTTGTGAGTAAAAACTTTCTTTTAAAGACTAGTTATCAAAAAAATGAATTTTCAAATGTGGTCCCCCGATATCATGAATATTCATTTTACCAAGCGAGTTATGCATACGCTGCAAATAAACGCAAGCACTTTTCCGAACCCTGCGCACTGACTGGTACGGACAAAATCGCTCAACTTTATTTACGTTATGTCTATGTGAGTGAAACGGCCGTGTAAATCAGCCACCATTGCCAATGCAGTTAGGCCTATTGGTTTTTGGGCAACAGAGATCTACCCATTTAACCCTGCAGCTGTCCCGAAAGAGGCATTTGCACCTTCAAAGGCATGGGAGTTGGCAGATGAAGAAGCAGACGTAGAAGCAGAGGTAGAAGCAGAGGCAGAAGCAGAGGCAGAAGCATAGGCAGGAACAGAGGCAGGAACGGAGAAAGAAACAGATACAGTACCGAGACCACCACCACAAGATATCCCTAGTACATCACAGGCATCGACGAGCCGTCAGCCAAACCTAACACCAGCGAGTACTTCACAGGCATCGACGAGCCGTCAGCCAAACCCAACACCAGCGAGTACTTCACGGGCATCGACGAGCCGCCAGCCAAACCCAACACCAGCGAGTACTTCACGGGCATCGACGAGCCGTCAGCCAAACCCAACACCAGCGAGTACTTCACGGGCATCGACGAGACGTCAGCCTAACCAAACACCAGCGAGTACTTCACGGGCATCGACGAGCCGTCAGCCAAACCCAACACCAGCGAGTACTTCACGGGCATCGACGAGCCGTCAGCCAAACCCAACACCAGCGAGTACTTCACGGGCATCGACGAGCCGTCAGCCAAACCCAACACCAGCGAGTACTTCACGGGCATCGACGAGCCGTCAGCCAAACCCAACACCAGCGAGTACTTCACGGGCATCGACGAGCCGTCAGCCAAACCCAACACCAGCGAGTACTTCACGGGCATCGACGAGATCTCAGCCAAATCCAACACCAGCGAGTACTTCACGGGCATTGACGAGCCCTCAGCCAAAAAGAGAACGGGAAACAAAAGCAGCTGAAAAAAAGAAGATGACAGAAGAAAAGAAAAATGCGCGATAGCAAAAGAAACAACAAAGACAGGAGGGGGAAAAATCCAAAGCAATCGCCAACAAACCACGCCCAGGTATTAGCTGCCCACCTACAATCTCAGCTGGTGACTCGGACAGTGACAATGAGATAATTGAACTAGTGGATGATGATACGTTCTGTGCCAAGTGTAATGCGCCTTGGATGGCCGATGAGCCTCGGGTTTCATGTAGAGGGTGCAGCGAGTGGTTCCATGAGGACTGTACCAGATGGCGAGGCGATATGAACTTGTTCGTGTGCACTGACTGTAGTGGCCTATATAGTTTGGAGGATCCGATTAATTAAAGTAGAGTACATGCACTGTGTATACTGCAACATTTGGATGATGTTTAAAGTATATTAGTCTTATACAGTACATTGTACATGATTTAGCCCTCCCAATTGCACATTTAAAATAGAAATTGTCGGCGTTTGTGTTCCATTTACAAGTGTTTAAAATGATCGTTAGCTTGTAAGCAGAAAAAAATGGGAAGAGTTCCATATACGGACAACACTTAGTTTTAGATAGTAACCTACAAGCCATGAAAAGCAAAGACATGCCCTAAAAAGTTAAATTAAGCAGTGAGAAAGTCGAAGCATTTACTCTAATAGGAAACACTGAATTTTTCAGAGCAGTCTCATACACTGTAAAACGCGAGAAAATGTGACACGTTTAAAAAATAAACGCAGTGTTTTAGATTTAAACACTATGTGACACACATCATGTGTTTTTAAACAAAACAGTTAGCGTTAATGTCAACAGTGCTATAGGGTGTTTATTGTGAGATCGGTTTTAGAAAACGTTTTAACTGTTCAATTTCACTAGTTAGCATTTTGTTTATTCCAAAAGAATAACACTTTATTTAAAAAAGGCTTATTAACTAATTAGGACACTAATAATAACTCAATTTAGTTGTTTGTGTTCAACACCTAATAAACACGGTACACGTCACGATGTTTAAATATGACCACGTGATGTTAGGTCTTAACCAATAGGATTAAATCTGATTGCGTGCTGGCATAATCAGGCCAGTTAAATGATTACGCGGCACCGAAAGACAACCGCCATTTTTCTGACAATAATCTGGGCACACTAATAGAATAATGTAATGGCGAGAATTAGTATCGTCATTCGTTGTAACAAAATTTGCATCGGGTAATGAAACAATATACATGTATGATGTAGTCTCACAGAAGGTACTAACAGTTGGTCATGACCTAGGCTGGAGGTCAAGTTTGGTATGCATATTGCCAAGTCAGCAAGAGTACTCAGATGCAACGTATTCTGTGCATGCAGTACGACGGTTGTAGTTTGAACCAGTTCTGGAAGCTTCCACACAGGTGGTAAGTTTTGTCTTTTGTGTTGTTTGATTTAATTAATCCCGATATACAATATTATAGATTTTGAAATATGAGAGGAGACGAATTAGTGGGAGCAATTAGTGGCCAAAGGATCGTGTGATAAAACATGAATATGAAGGGGAAAAAACAACCCTGATTTTGATTTCCTCATATTATTTTTCTTGGATGACGCTGTTGTTATACAGTATAACTGCTGTGCAGCTCACAATATTATGAAGGAAGTTTTGTATTTGACCCACATTATAGGGTGGTCTATGTTGAGTGTTTACTTAACATGAGGCTATAAGCCTATGGGGCGAATTACAATTGCAAACACGCAGTGTCAAAATTTTTGTAATCTTTGAAAATTCAGTGAAGTGGATTTTTTTTGAAATCGTGATTTAACTATTCAATAAAAGCATGCTAGTGTTATCACCACTGCCTAAGTTATGTAAGCTGAAAGGGACCAGCATGAATGATTTTGAAAAGAAAATTCTAGTATTTGTAAGGTCAGGTACAAATTGTTTAACCATAATTTCCATTTCACATGATTTATGGGCGTATATTGTTTTAATATTTTCTTTCTGTAAATTTTCAGGGTGTGTCTATTCCCTTGCAGATGAAAGAAGCTATTGACCTTAAAAACACGGTAAGTGTCCTTTGGCATTGATCGTCATTTGGCAGTGCAGTGTGTGATCGTAAAGATCAGCTGTGTATAAAACTTTTGAAAAACCCGCAGTGCGTGTACATAAAAGATGATCCCCCATTTTTAGTACAATGCAGTATATCACAGGGATTCAAAACCATTTCGTTTTACAGAACGTGTTATGTTTTGAATATAGGGTCCTCTGTAGACGCTCGATGTAATTGCATACATGTACGTTGAGCAGAAAACCGAGTTTGAACGTGGCGAGGGTACGAAGACGAGGAGAGTGCTAACTATTCATGAGGTAATTTTGAATGATGATAGTTGGCTGAGATTCTATCTTGCATAAGAACCTTTCAACTTCCACTGGAAATTTACTCTGGCGGTAAAACATCATGAAATGAAAAAGTAAAGCATTCTAGGTGAATACAATTTTAAAATACAATTTTAAATACAAAGTCTCCGTAAATACCTACATGACTGCAAAGTTATTGGTACGAAACTGTGAAAAGCTTGCCTATTTTCTTCAGATTTTATTTTTAATATTTGATCCATGATCAAGCTCAAGCTGTAACTTTACAGTCTTTGTGCACATTATCTCTGATAACAAAGGTTAATATTGACGTGAGTCCCAAAAAGGCCGACAATTGTGCAATTTACTTTTGAACCCAATTTTGTAACCACTTTTCATATTCTTCCTGGAGTAAACTTTATTATTGACATGTCATTTTAGGGTCTCCATTATTTCTATTGACTGTGAGCATGGTTTCACTTTCAAAGTTGATCGGTTTTTGTATGGCTCACTCAGAAATCTTGTTTATGTCACAGAATGCTGCTGAACCAGACAGAGTATCTGCATCAAAACTACAGTTTACATTACACGTGGAGACACCATCAAGAAAGTCTCGAACTACAACACGTACAATGATGCGCTTCTTCTCCAGCCTCGGGGTACTATGCCTTTGATTTGGATTATCCAAAGTATTTTCACATGCTTTGAGTTCTTTTCAAAAAATCATAATCAGAGAAAAATTTTCCTGGCAGATTCCAGCGAATTCATGCAATTCACTACAAGGTATTTGTGTATAAATTAATTGGATATATTGTTGAAATCTCAGCTAAAGATCAATACTTAGTTTACCACTTCAAACTATAACGCAAACCTTCACAGGTTTTAAAAAACAAGTATAATTCATTTGCAGTTTTACTTCTAAATCTCATTGAATTGGAAAATAATTGTTTTAGACCTATTTACAGATATATTCATTTACTTCAAATTCACCCTTTTGTGTTTGTTTATGTTTTTGTTTCTTTGTTTTGATACCTGTAAAAAAATGTAATTGGCCTTAATGTTACGGGCTTAAAAAAGGGATGGTTGAAAACATACTGATAGGCATGGTAGTATATTCACATAAATGTCACATTATTTTTGCTGTCGTGATGTAAAATATTCTCTAGGGGTGACCATAAAATACATTTGTATTTTATTGTGTCCATTTTCATGATTCGATAAAACTCAATAGGCCTTTCACCACAATCCTAAAGGTGAAAATAAAGACAGCTTTGTGAAGTGCCCTAAATGCGTTTATTTCAATGTTGTTAATATTGTGACTGAAGTTTTACTTGCAATTTTGAATACTGTTCGAAAACTAAACACACACTGTGAATATAAACACTTGAAAATAATAATAAATGGCGTCCCATGTTTAAAATCTGTCACAGGCAATAAACGTGTCACATGTTTAAAATTACAACAGATTGACGTGTTTTCTTTTTGACTGTGTGTTTACTTTTTAAACGTCAGTAGTATTTAAATGTTAAACGCCTTTGATGTATATATTTTAAACACTGTTCCGTTTAAAGATTAAACACCGTCAGTGTGCTGATTTTAAACACCAAATATGTTTCCAAATTTAAAAACTGTCACAGATTAGTGTTTATTTAGGTGTTCTAAACCTAAACACATGGTTTACAGTGTATGGTTAGTGCACAGAGTGTCAAGTGTTGACCGTGTATGAAACTCTTTCCAAAAATATGTTTGCAATTACTCAAGTTGCTTACAAATTCTCTCCAAAAGCAAGGGCATGTATAAAATTAGGCTCGTAGAGATAAATACATCAATACGCTTGAAAAAAATACTTCAAAGTATGATTAAGGAACATAAAATGCCCGTGACAAACATCTCTGTATTGAACTCAGCATTCCAAGAATAAAAATTGCGTGATTTTTTTTTTCTGAAAAAAGTTAGAAACTCTTTAAATGGTGTTTAAACAATTAATTGAACTCATTTGTGCTTCTAAGATATTTACAGTTGCTTATTTGAATGTTTTATTATCAATTTACTGGTAGCATCAGTCATTCTTTACACTTTTGATGACAAATATTAAAGTTTTATGATGCGGACCACTTGCCCAAAGAGTGGGGCTAGTGGTCCACTTTTGGATTTTTTTTTGATTAATTAATATTCATAAGATTAATTAATGTGATCGATTTCAGTTGTTTGCAATAAACAAGCAAGTTGTTTGGTCATGTAATAAAACTAGTTTTATCCCTTTCCTGGATTTCTTTTATATTGTTAGAATTGAAAAATTGCTTAAGTGGTCCAGTAGCCCCACTTTCCCCTACATGGGCACTTATTTTAATATCAGAGATGTGAGCCATTTGTAGGTATCTCTGTCATATGATCTAATAGTTGAAAATAAAACCTGCCAATTTTAGTACGAGGAAAAAACCATGGCCTTCAGAATTCTGCCCGCCACAATGGACATGTTCTTTTAAGATTACACAATCGACTTATTTACTATAATTAATACATTTTCACCTCAACCATCAACCTGTAGAATGTAGCCATTGACAACTCAAACCCCCCCCCCCCCAAAAAAAAAAAAAAACTGCCTCTGCTTATATCTGCCCTGGCGGCCTGCAATGCGCATCTTCAAAATAACACGCATGGGTCAGTAGTCTTCGAGTGCAGTTTTAAAAGCAAAGTGAGCCGTTTAAAGGGAATATATATACAAGATTTGCAAACATCAAAAAATAAAACTACCAAATTTCTATGAAATACTGTACTTGACTGTTAGTGAAGCACGGTCAAAAGCATACCCTGTAAGACTTATGGCACCTGATTTCTGTCATTTTCAAGAAAAGTGGTATTTTTGTATCAATTTCCAATGCTGGTCAGAAAAAAACTGTTTTCAAATACTGCCCCCAATTTACCATATTTAGTTAGTCGACATTTTGTTTGCAATCGATTGCATACCTTTGAACGGGTACAAGCCAGCTAGACTGTTTTTCTGACCATACAATCCCCTGGCTTCTATAAATTGCTGTGTTTCATTTAAAGAGGGGTCAGGGAACCAGACTAAAAGAAAATGATAGATTCTTGGGTTTTCCAGCATCTATGAACACAAAACTACAAGTGCGTGTAAGTTTGCTATAAAATACTTACCCCCCAAATACAGCCGTTTCTGAAAATTACAGGAACAAAGTATGTTGTGCATTCCTCTTTATAAGCTTATGACATATGCAATGACATGTTGGCCACATTAGGCAGGTGGCCTCAATACAGAGTTTAGCCAAATGCAGGTGAAATAATTGTAACCTTTTGAAAGTATTTAATGCTGGGATGCCGTAGAGGACATCAAGCAAGTGTTTTATGGAGTAAAATAAACTTTTTTTTGTTATTGCTTGATGTAAAAATATCGGATTTGAGCCTCCTTCAGTGACGTCATAGAACATACCCCAAAATCCACATTAAGCTACCACCTACAAAAGTCTATCATACTTTTCTGACATCTATACACATGTAGGAAAGAAAAAAATCATAGTGGCGATTAGTTCCTTGAGATGGTACCAATTTGTGAAATTTCAGGCCCTGGCTCATGGACTAATGTTCCAAGGCTGCTTTCTTACATTTAGTAAATTCCTTCGTGTATGCTTTGTTTTATTACGGCATGGGGCCACAGGGCCAGGGGCCGCTTTAGTTCTATCTCACCAAACGATGTAGCTCTCGATATAATTGCAGTGTTATTTGTTTGTTACAGATAATGGCAAATATAAAAGACTAAAAGACCAAATGCATCTTTATGTTTATGCTCGGTAGACAGCAAGTGGGGGGGGGGGGGGGGGGGGCTATGCAAGGATTTATCGGTCTACTGAGATTTTATGAGGAAAAAGTTGCAGCAGAGGGTAATAATTAATATCTTTTTTTATGGAAAGGATTTATCGGTCTCCTGAGATTTTATGAGAACAAACTTGCAGAGGTAAAACGTGAATAGCTTTTTTTACTAAAACGAAACTACACTGGAATTGGCGTTAAGCATGACTAGTTTTAATGAAAGCCCTTTCCACTCATTTTGGGTTGGGGATGTGTCACGGAGAACCTGCTCTTTGTTAATCTTGAGTACAGAATGCTAGCAACGTCAATAAAACTTCTAGTTGAAAAGAAAAAAAAACCTTCAGGGGAAAGGTATGAACATTTGCCATATTGAAAGATCGAATGAAAAAAATCCTGGCAAGCACAATCAACTTTGCCATGCACCATTGTCATGGCTGAGGTTATTGCTTTCGGGTCAAAGCTTCCAACATGGAATAAAAATATCATAGACATGTCATGATTTTGGATACCTTGAGAGAAATATCAATTATGCACTGCCTGAAGATTTAAAAAAATACCTCCTCTTGATATTTCTTATACCAGATGTGCCCCTGTCTTGATGACAACTCAAATACAGACTCTGACTCTGAATTCGAGTAAATTTGAATGATTGTCAGGGAGTTTCATCAGAATCAGAAGTGATATACAGGCACAATTTTCAAGTTAATAAATGTTCGTAATTATTAAGCTCATTTGGGAGGCTTTGGTGGTTCATTAAATCAGATAAGCCTATTGCAGTATGAAAAAGAACTAAAGTTCCATCTGGTTGCAAAAAAATATTATATTTATTACATATATGAATGTATGAAAATACCAAAAGTGGCAACAAAATCATATTTAATTGTCAGGAAGACCAAACATTACTTATTTTTTCCCTATGAAAACTAACATTTTGTGTGCAGCAATTTTATGGAAATACATGTGCACTTATTTTTATATCAGAGATGTAAGCCATTTGTAGGTATCTCTGTCATATGATCTAATAGTTGAAAATCAAAACTGGCAATTATAGTACAAGGAAAAAACCATGGCCTTCAGAATTCTGCCCGCCAAAATGGACATGTTCTTTTAAGATTACACA